GATAGTGTTGATGATGGTGGCGATTTTAAATACGATTAGATAATTAGAAAAATCTCTTCGCTCGGCCGGTCTACACAGCTTCGTAAACTTTCCGAACTATACCTTGGTCAGAATTACGACTACCTTGTCGTATCAACTCGGAAACGTCCTCACATTGTGCTGAAGGGTACCAACTACAACTGATGGACTCAACTTAGTGAAAGGAACGTGAAAAGACCAGGAAGTAAAATCTATGATGGAAAGACTTACGTGAAAGCCAGAGTTTTGCGGTCGATGAAAAAGACGCCGTTCAGAGTTGTCGTAGAGTTCTCACCTTGACGTGAAATTTTCGATCCCGTTTAGGAGAGCATGCAATACTGAGTTTTGAATAGCTATTAAATGGAAAGGTGGTAGAAGGGTGAAGCTAAAAGAAAAAAAAACTGTTTTAAATTAAAACTGATGACATCAGACTCGATCTCATTCTCTACTTGGTGGTTTAGCTAAATAAGTAGTTAATGACGGCTGGTAATTTCCGAGCGAGAGCGAGTCAAATAAAGAGTTGTTTTCAGACTATTGTCAAAGGCTTAGCGCATTCAAACCAAATGGCTAAAAAAAAAAACTTGACTAGTGATGAGTGACAAACTGATCCTCACAGGATTTAAGCAATTGTAGAGAGTAATGCCCTGTCTAACACAGAATTCTATTTTTCAGTTCTTGGCTTTCTGCTTTTTTTTATGTGAGGATCAAGTGATACCCCTTTACCGATTTGTTTCCCTGAAACTCACCCTTAGTGTATCTTTTGTAAATTTAGAACTTTTTTATCGTTTCCGTAATGTAGGCGGTTGAGTGGCAATCGGCTGGAAAAGCTTCCTCCAAAACTTCTTCAAGGATTGTCCGCCTTGGAGGAACTGTAAGTACAAATTTTGCGACATTTCTTCCCGAAATTTTAGTCAATGAGGACATCTTTTTCTTGTGCATTGCGTTTCTATCAGATCCATTGCTTTCAAATCGTTCAAAACATGGTTTTGAAACCTTTCCCTCTCAATTGAATCAGTCGATTATGGAGTTTGATCCGTTGTGCCTTTGTGTAGAAGTAGTTCAAAAAGGGATTGTTCAAATTTATATGAAATTGGTACCTGGTGTTTTGACAACGTTAATGAAGGAAGTGATTATACTCCATTGCAGAGTTGTTTATCAGTCGAACGTTCTACTGGGTCACTGGGCGTGATTGGGAATGCAAAGCTCTTCTGATTACGGGTTTTGTGGGGTGGTGGTGAGGGGTCGGAGGGGGGGGGGAGGGAAGGGGAAGAGGGGGAGATTAAATCCCCGCAAGTTAAAAAAAAAGAAGAAACATTTCGAGCCGTCGATTTTTACCTCTTCCCTCTTTCTCATTAACAAATGGATTCCATTTTGTTGTGCATCTGCTCAACAAGACGTTACAGATGCTGCAAGAACAAAAGAGAAGCACAAGAAGCGCAACAGTTTCAAACCCTTTACTTTAGGAGAACCGTAGCCTTTTTTTTTTTTTGTGGGTCACGTGACATTGGGCGTGTCATGTTGACGTCATTAACGGACTTCAATAACTTTCCAAAGTTAGCTAAGTATCAGCAAAATAGTGTCGAATTATAGCCAACTGAATTCACCCAAGCAACTGCCTGAAATGGCCATTAAAGTGATCATTACTATTATTTCACAATTGCGCCGCCCGTATTAGGGCAACGGAACAATCGAAATATGTCAAGTGTTACACAGGGAAAATACGGAGGAAAGCGGAGTAAAAAAATGGCCACACTGAACGGTCCGCACCTTGACTTTTTAAGCGCTCCAGAATTTGTAATTTGTTCACTGTAACACTCTGACGATTTCTCTCGTGTTGTCTTTGTCTAACGCTCAGGCCTTATGCGATCGATACCAGGCTCAGATGAGGCCGAAGGATGTATTTCGAAAACTAGAAACCAAAATATTAGAAATTAAAACAATAGTGGAATGATAAATCCCTTATGCGATGTGTAACACATAATACGATCGAAAATTTTGCTTATTGCTTGCATTTTCTTCGCCCTCGCGGAACTCGGAAAATAGTTCTACGAAACTTGCACAACACTCGCCCGTATAATAATTATGTTGAGTTATGGAATAGGGCGGATTTGTTTACTAAAAGTAAAAGCGAAGAAAAATTGGATCGCAAAATTTTATTATTTTTCCAGAGGAATTCTTTAAGTTAGAAATTACGGGGCGGAAGTAAGAGATAGACACTTACGTGAAGACCTATTCACAAGTTTAAGCCAATACATTTCACTTAAAAATAGGTTTCTTTTTTCATTAATGAGATGATTAGATAGAAAACTCGATGAACTGCAACTGAGTAAATTCTATCAGATAAGAATTTCGTCCGAAACAGTTACCCAAGATTGAAATAACTGAGTTGACATTCTTCTGAAGATAACTTTCCCAATGTCTTCCAAATAAAGTCGTTGCACACAGTAGGGGAAGATCTTGATAATATGTCCCGTGGAAATGTAGTTTGTTATCTGGGACTCTCTTTTTCCTTTGTTTGTTTTCTTACTGATTATCATCTCATTCTACAAATGTTAGGGACTTGTCCTACAATCAGTTGCAGAATTTTCCTCGAGGGATACTTAGCACAAATACCAAGCTGAAAGAATTGTACGTAGGACTTTTCCTTGTACTAAAAAAACCGGTCAAACCTAAACTTTTAAAATTATTTGAAATCTCGCATATTTCCACTTGGAATGCGGCTTTATTTGGAATAAATTACTGAATCAGGTATTATTTTGCGATAGATGCCGCATTACTTTAATGTACGAGGTCTTTCTGCCATTATTGTCTTAAGAAAAGGTCTATCAGCGTTAAGCATGTAATAAATATGTTCTTTGAGTCCATTTGTTTCATACTAGAGATTCTTAATTATATTTGATGTTTTTAAAGACAGACAGAAAAACTTTTCCTTTCCTGATTTGGTAAAAACAACTGGTGTTTATTGTTCGTTATCCGGTTTGGCTCCTGTCCGGCACCTAAGTGAAACGTTTAAGGGGGAGGCCTAGCCTATTTTCCAAATAACATTTGTGTTCTTGAAAAGCTAGCTAACTCTTTACCTCAATAAATACGCTAAGGGATTTGTCAAACAACGAAATTCAGCGTCTGCCCATGGATGTTTTTGGCAACCTTACCCGGATGGAAAAGCTGTAAGTAGCATTCAGTAGAAACTTCACAGCAAAGGGAATTATAATGTACAGTTTTCCATAGAGCTTTATGGAAATTTAATACATTAAGACCATTATAAAAACAGAGCTTCGCGAATTTAGAATTTGTGACTCTTACGTGAAGCGTATCAAAATAAACTCCATAAGCTCACTGGCTTTATATAATACTAACTTTGGTGGAGTTGGTAATTGAGAACAATCGAAAAAAAAGAGGTCAATATTAAGTTCAATTGTCTCACACAGCCTTTTGCTTCACGTGACTTGTGACTATAATTTTTTCGCTGAGTAACTAGGGAACTCTGTAAAGATTGATTTGTGATGTAAGTGACTTATTATAGTTTGGTGCATCAGTATTGAAAAGTGATGTCATGATATGAAAACGCCCATGTTAACAATTAATGTGCAAATGATATCTTTTGCCTAAATTCTCAGGATCAGGAGTAAACAGTTTATATACTCAGAAAAAATGGGTAGAACTTTGTAATTCTTCAAAATAGCTTTTTCAGAACCAATTGGGTTTTATTTCATGCCTATTCGGAGAGAAAAAGAACCTTTCCAAGAATCTCAAATTCTATTTCAACTGACCTTTTTTTCATTTTATATATCACTCACAGCTTACTCTCCAGTAACAAACTTCAGCGCTTGCCAAGGTTCAAAAACCTCTCCGAGTTGAAAATATTGTAAGTGATTCACGTTTGTGATATAACTAGCTCAGTACGTGCCTTGTATAATGAGCGTTAACTTAAAGGTGGCGTTGGCCAAAACCAAAGAATCAGCTTGGGTAAGGACTATTTCTCTGGCATCTTCTTATGACTTAAAAGTCTGTTTAAGGAAGTTAATTGAGTAAAAAGTTAAAAATAAACATCCACTTTGGAAAGAGATGCCATCAACTAAGAATAACCAGGGTTCAAATGTTTAAGGTGATATAACAAAATATAATACAACACATCCCCTACAATACTTTAACAGCACCCTCCCCTTGGGGCTTGACAAGGACCATATGCTAGAAATGATCGCTGATGATTGATGATTAACCCAAATTAAACTTTAACAATCGATTGTCATTTTTCTTAAAAAAATGTATTAAAATTCTTCAGCGGCTTTCAAAACGTTTTCGGCAATATTGAGTTTATTTGGGATTTTAAATGAAAACACAGGATCTATAAATTCCAGTTTTTAAATAAAATTTTTCTGGCCTCTTTCCAGATGTTCAAGAAAAGGGTTGTTCAAACTAAAAGCATAAAATTCTGGGTGATGCGATTAGAAATATGAGCTTTAACTCGTAAATGGGCGCACGTCCGACCATTCATTAACATGCCACATTAGCGTTACTAAGGTTTAACCATTGTTTACCTGGCGCCCAGGTTAGTCCTTTCGGTGAAGGCGTAACACGATGGAACTTAATTGTTCTTGTCACAATGCACGTGGCAACGTTTTGGTCCAAACACATTTATGAGATGTTTTTTCAGGAAGTGTTTGAGCACACTGATGAGCAGTAGAACAGTTTGCCGAATACCAAGGCACTAACACACTTTCGAAGGAGGTTTCCATACTAAGCATGTTTAACTCGACTGACTTTAATTAGGGATGAAACAGTTTCTAAGATATGAGACGGGGTTCGGGACTAAATTAGTCTCGAGGTCCTCAAAAGATTATGCTGGGTCAAGGTTATTAAGAATCACTAAGTTTCGCAGTCAGCTCTGTGCTGCCAAATATCATTAAGGTCAATAAATACTTCCCCCCATCGAAGACTCTGTCATCGTACCGAGCGCCTGGTGCATTTTATTGTGTAGATACATGTACAACAACAGCCTCGTTGCCCTGTCACCTGATCAGTTCCAAGGCCTGTCCAAACTGGAAGAACTGTAAGTAAACATTCGATAGAAATCATACCTGACAGCACAAGTAACTATTCTTGACCAAATATGTATTTAACCAACTTTAATTGATATTCATTCGCTCGCCGAATTGTTCAGCTTTTTTTTTCTACTCTCGGTTGGAGGACACACAACTACAAAAACAAGGAGGGAGTAACTCTCGAAAACACAAGTATTCATTATCATTTTAGTTTTCCAGAGGGTCAGTAGAGCGAATAGACCTTTCTTTCCTCCTCCCACCACTTTTGCCCAAAGTTCGCTAAATTTTTAAGCTAATGTACTTTGATTGGATAAACCTCAGAAACCTTAGCAGAATTCTGAAAAAGATGCTTTGTCATCCATCCAAGATAGCAACTGCCACCTCGGATTTCTCCAGAAAAAGACATAAAAAGAAGAGAATTAGAGATGTAGCAATTCTCTCCCTCACCCCCGAAAAAATCAACAGATCAGTGAGACAATGCTTTTATAGAAGTCCAAATATTAGCATGCGCTAAGTTTTGACATTTTCAGCAAGGTAACCGCAAACTGCATATCAGTCTAACTTTCCGGCTGTGAGGTTTTGTTTTGTTTTTTTGTTTTTGACTTTATTACTATGTTTTCAATATCGGATAGCTCTTGAAGATGTCGTAAGGAGAAGGCATTTAAGAATCAATGAAGATAGGAAGAAAGTTTATGTAAATACGTGCTTACCACTAAATTTTTCTATATTTCTGATAATAATGATGTGCCCTCTATGTTGTTCTAGGGTTGTTTACGAAAACAACATTAACTATCTGCCACGTGAAGTTTTTAAAGGCATGAAAAACATAATGACTATGTAAGTAACTGTTTCTAAACTATCCTCTGATTAACGGTAACGAGGTACTGTAAAATTAGTAAGGGTCTCGTGAAGATGCAATTATAGCAATGTATAGCCATTATCTGCGACGAGTTCGGCTCAGGTAAATCAAAAGGCCTACTAAGTTCCAAACCAAAAACACGGACAATCTTCTACCCCCGAGGACAGATCATACCTTATGATCAAAACCATGTGTGATGGACGACGAAATATTACGATTGTGAAAGTGAAAACAGACTGACTAAGAGATCATATTAACTAGAAGAAGACAGAACCACCAAAAGGCAAATCAGACAAAACCTTGAGAGACACCAGGTCTCTTTAACCACCAAAAACAAGATCCTGCTAAGGTATCCCCTTCCAGATTCAAACACTGAGTTTACAAAGACTTCTAGCGTGAAAACCTCTCGAGGGTAAGCATGACAATACTCATGGGGTTACTTAAATCGGCATCGGCCACGCGGATAGAAATAGATCTATCAATTACGACTTAAATAGAGAATGTTTTGTTCATTCTTGATAACTTAACTGTCACTTTGAAGAACTTCTCAGTAAAATGAAAATTCGTAAAAATACTTATGTGACATTATTGTATGACGCACTGCCTACTGTACGGTGAGGTTCTTTTCTCGTTGCAGAACATTTGAACAAATGGAAGATATTGCCTTCCATCCTTGACTAATTTTCTGTCTAGTGTTGTTTTAATTTACGCTTTAATGCTTGTCAGTTGACGCTCTACACTTTTCACTGTTTCATCGTTCTGTAGGAGCTTTTATTTCAACAATATCCGCACCGTTACCAACGAACAATTCAAAGATGTCGCCCCAAGTATTCGATTCCTGTGAGTATGAGTAAACTGATAATATTCCAGGTGTGTTCAAACTACTTTGAGTTCAAGGGAGACAGATATTGTTGGTGCGACCTTCACGTGCTGTAAACTCACGGATAGGCACCCCTCCCCCATTTTAATGAATGTACAAGTGATCATACCGCTGGCCGAATTGTTTAAGAAGGGAAAATGGAGTAAACAATTTTCACATACATACCACCATTGATATACTAAGAGTACCAACTGTGCCGCTATTATCGATCAGCTTTGTACATTAATGCACAGTTTATACTTTTATTTACGCCCAAATGTTATACTCCTTGGGACGATCATATCTGGTCACAAGAAAAAGTTTGGGAAAAACTTAAGGGAGGGCCCCTCCCCGTAAAGTACCCTCTCTGTAATGAGTGACCCATCTTTTCAACCTAAATTTGAAATGAGTGCATCAGGTGCTCATTGGAGGATTAACAGCATATGAATATAACAAATAAAGACACTTCGGCATAGCCTGTGTAAGTATGTTTTACATACTCAATGACGAGTTATCCGTCTTCGGTGTTAGTTATCTTTCAAATAGTTGTTGAGAATTGGGCAGAAAAAGGAACAAGAGAGAGCCGAAAAACTGATTAATACATAATGGTAATAGGACTGAGTGGAGTCCAATTCGGTCTGTAATCATACGAGTGATCAACAAAATCAGACGACGGCGAGGTGGGAGTCCGATTTGTTAATCACGACTATGATTACACACAGAATTAGATAACAAGAAGTCCTGTTACCAAGTAATCATAGCCATTTGAATTTCCGAAAAAACAAATTCACCTAAAACAAATATCTCCAGTAGAGACGATGTCTTAAGTTAAAAATTCCTCCATTTTGAAAATTCCCCAGTTTTTCTTTGAATAAGTGATTGTTGCTGTAATTATTTCAATCATTTCTGTGATTGGTGGATTAGCTGAGTAGACTTAGTATGATTGGCTGCTTCAACTGTTCGATTACCGGTGTCCGATTACAGCCAACTGTCCGATTACACTGTCTTATTACAACTGTATGGGATGATTAGTGAAAAATGAAGCCGCGAATGCTCCAATAATATTCGAAGAATTAGTAATGTTTGTGATTAATAGGCTAAAGATGTCGATGTTATCAAGAATTAGCGAGCAAAGTTTGCCTGAATTACTTTCCTTAAATTTGCAGGTACTTCCATTACAACGAAATGCGAGAACTACCGGAGGGTTTCTTTTCAAACATGAAGTATCTAATAACTGCGTAAGTCAAGTGAAATGTTCTCCACGCGAGGAGTTTAAAACTGAAAAATTTCATTTGCCAGTGCCCAGTTATACTGCACTGACTATATTACTATTACACTTTCGTTTTCTTGTAAATTTAGATCCTGTGACGGATCAAATTTGTATTTTTCCCCTTTTATTGTTCATTTCAACTCTTTTTATGAACATAGGACTGTAGACACCAACCTGATGTGTTGCCATTTGACGAAGGAGGATGCAGATTGCGACTTTGCTTATGTCGACAGCTTCGCCAGTTGTGAAACTTTGTTCAGAAATCGAGCTCCTAGGGAGTGCCTTTGGGTGGTTGGAATTATGTCGTTGGTTGGTGCTGTGTTTGTCATTGTGTGGCGGTTGGTGTTTAAGGAGAAGAAGAAGAAAAACAAGATACAGTCCATCATGTTGATACATTTGGCTGGGGCTGATGGACTTATGGGTGTCTACCTCATAACTATAGGTGTGGTGGATGCCATTTGGGCAGGGGAGTATTATTTGCATGACTATTACTGGCGTTCAAGTTTGACATGTCAGATAACAGGTGCCATTGCCGTGTTGTCAAGTGAGGTGTCTGTTATGACGATTTGTTTGCTCTCCGCCGACCGGATGAAGAATATTCTATTCCCCTATCGTGGAAAGTCCCTTACACTTAAGGTTACGCACCTTTTGTGCTTCCTTATCTGGATTGTTGGTGTCATAATTGCATTTATTCCCACGGTGGGCTTCGACTACTTCGGTAGTCGCCAGAAAGGTCATCACTTTTATGGCAGATCAGTTGTATGTCTGCCATTGCAGCTTTCCACTGATAAGCCGTCGGGCTGGGAGTACTCTGTTGCCATGTTTGTGGGTTTAAACTTTACCCTTGTGCTCTTTGTCGTTTTGGCATACACGATGATAATCTATAAGTCCTGCGCATCAAACAGGCGCATGGCTCAGCAAGGGACTGAAAAGAGAGGAGAATGAAAGCCAAGTCAAGGGCAGCCGATCTGAGGAGGGAGGCCTCGCTCGCCAAAAGAGTGTTCTTCATTGTTCTTACCGACTGTGTCTGCTGGATGCCTATTGTGGTGATTGGAATGAGGTCTCTCGTGGAAAAATCCTTCCGTACACCTGGTGACCTCGCAGTTTGGATCGCAGTCTTTGTTCTGCCGGTTAACTCTGCCATCAATCCCATTCTCTACACTTTATCAACAGTACAGGTAGTAACTTGCAACCTTCATATCTTTGCTTAAACGTCTTGCTGCAGCTTGATCAGCTGAAGTTTAAAGGATACTTTCATAAACATTTTATTCTATCTCATGAAGAATATCAAAAGAACTAGTTAAAAAGAAAATACATTCCAATTTGCAAGGAAATTTAGCGGGTTTTGATATTTGAATATTTTGCCGACTGTCCTTAATCTGCCAAAAGAAACCATTTCCCATAAAAAAAAGTCTCGCCAAAAAAACGCCGCGTAAACTTATTACGTTTACTTTAACACGTCGTTGAAGTAATTTTTTAAAATAAATTTTTTTTTTGGTTTTTTCACTTGTCATCCTTTTGAGTAGTGGAAGTTGTAGAACTCAGAGGGTGCTATTACTAACTAACCAGTTAAAAAATAAAGATTATATAATTCCCGTACCTTGTCCGGTCATCTAGAACGACAACATTTTCGCGTTGCTCGGCATTAGGTATACCAGCCTTATTATGCTACTTACTAAGATACAAGCAGTGTTTAAATTTTTCTATACGTGCCTAAGAACTGCGTAACTAACGAAAAATAAAATTGTTTGTTTTCAAGTAATAACACTTCCGGTGAAGTGAAAAGATCGCACGGAAAAAAAAAAGAGCCCTAACTAACAAAAACGGTTCTGTTTCTGGATGACACACTAAGCATAAGTGACTAGTACTCTGACTGGTTGAAACCTTCATATTGATCATTTAAGCATTGGACAGGACTCTCGCTCGGTTTACCGGCAGAACATCCCACGCGCGATGTTGGGAGAACTTCAAAAAGTTTTGAATCACCAGCCGAGAGCGAGGGACTTTTGAACTTTGCGAGTTTCTCACAGATATCCAAAGAGAGTTATTACCCAACTACTTTTAAAAATTAGATCAAGATTGATTGGTTCAGAGAACCATAGGTGTTTGACCAATCAGTACACATAGTATTCCAATTTGTTTTGTTTTGCTCTTTGTTCTTGATGACTTGCATTTAGGTACGACGTGTTCTGAAGGCTAAATTCCAACAGTTATGGAGCTATTTGGTGGAAAAGTGTGGACGAAATCAAAACAATGAAGGTAAATTTATCGAAAATCATCCTCCGGAAATAAGGACTAAGGATTAAGGATTAAGTACCTGTCTGATTAAGTTTTATTGTCACGTGATTACCTTCTGGCTTCTGTTGCACTTCTGCATGATTATCTTTTAAAGAAAAAAAAGGAAGGAAAAAAATGACTATCTTTGGTGATGTTGATTATATCTTCATACATGATTCACCCATCCACAAATCACTGATATTTACAATGATGAAGATAAATACTATTCGAGTATGTTTGACTAATGTCATTGCTGTTTTCCAAAGGCCAAGATCAGGGCGTTGAAATGCAAGTCATCGAAGAAGGTATGAAATATTTACTCGGCTCAAGTAAACATGGGGGAAAGTCGCTCGATTTCCTAAATCGCTCGGGTAAATCTGAAACGAAGAGAGACAGAATGCTATGAAGAATGGATGGGCAAAGCTGAAAATATGAAAACACTTTTACGTATTTTCTTGATTAAAACGTCTAGGCGAAACTGCTTATTTAGATCTGAACGCCGTAAGCGTAAAATGGGGGTTTAAATCGAGGTTCCACCCTTTAGTTTAAGTCTCACTTTCAAGTAACTACACTTAATTAAAGAGCACTGTTGTCAAACTTATACAAGAAAATGTTCAAAGGAAAAAGAATAATCCCTGTAGAATAACGAGCGACAAGTTTTTACGGCTGGAAAAAGTGAAATTCGTGCCGTATTGACCGACTACTCCTTGAAGTCGGAGGATGAGCGATGAAAAATCGGCGTAAAATGACAGGAAACTAAATCCCGTCAATAGCCGTCTCGACTCGTATAAACACCGGGGTTACCTGGTTAAATTTAAAATAAATGCCGGGGATGTTTAATGAAGAAAATGCGTAACAATCGTTGTTAACTTATTTATTTTTCTTGAAAGAGCTGCTATCCAAGTTTTTTTTCCAATAAAGATTATTGCCCTTTCGTTACAGTTTATGTCAAACAACAGTGCACAAGATCAAAAAAATGTTATGATATACTCTTTGATTTTAAATGATGTACTGAGAATGGTACTAAAGGAAGTAGCACCCGTGGTACAATCCACTTTTTGTTTTTTTAAACTTTTTTCTTTAAAGTTCAAATCCAACAAGACGCAGAGAGTGATGACAGCGATGACAGCGATGACAGTGACGACGAATCGAGAGATCAAAGCGAGCATGAGCAAAACGCTGAGCAGGCCGAGCATGAAGAGCCCGAGGAGAGAGCTGTGACTGAACAAGAAGAAAAACCAGAAGAAGACCACGAAGACCCATCAGAGCTGAAAGACGAACCTAACAAACAAGAAGAAGAATCAGAAAACGAGTTCAAAGAATGCGAAGAGGAAGCGGAAGATAACATGGAACATGGACCTGACAAACAAAAAGAACAACTAGAAAAGGAATTCACAGAATGCGAAGAGCAAGAGGAAGATAACATGGAAGATGAGGCTGGGGAAGGCGACGAGTTAATTGTGAATAAGGGTATGTTTATCAATCCTCTGCTTCTTTTAAAAAAAGAACTTTGATATATTGAGATTATTTTCATCAATTTGGAGGACTATTGGTGAACGATCTGTCTTCATTTTATACCTTAAACAAATTGTTAGTTTCTACAATTTCGTTACCTCCCTTGCTCTGCTTAACTACGTTCAGCGGTTTATTCGAATAGTGAAGGAACTTTTCCTCAATGAAAAATCTTGGAGCGGTTTTTCTTTCAGCAGTGACAGGAAGCGCTTTTGCGAGGCTTACGTTGTACTACGGTGTCCCAATTTATAACAATCTCGCTATGAATTAGTCTAAGCAGAATCTAAGTATTTAACACACGGTAAGTGACTGAGTGTCTTCTTTTTTTCCTTGTGTCATGTGATTATGCAACAGATAAACACCAAGCAGATGATAATCTCCTAGCAGCCTCTGGGCGAGAGTCTCCAAGAGCACCACTGGCCACGTTTGATGATGACTCCGACCTTGATTTTTTTTACCCAGCGCTCGATGGTATAAAAGAAACGAGTGTGTAAACAACAACACTGTATTCTCAGATGAGTGCATTCGTTATGAAAGAGAAGTACATGTACCTTAAGTGTTGCATTTTTTTCTTGTTTAACAAATTAACTTTAAAATCGATTGCGTAGTTAGGTGTTTGGCCCCTGTAATGACTTTGAAATACTTCAATAAACAGTAGTTTTCGTACATAGTGTCAAAATACGAGCCTATTGCTTTATGTGAAAATGTAAGTGCCCGTGTCGTGTTATACCAGTTACATATTGATTATGATTTAATAGGCTAAATGTAATAAAAAAACGTGTCAATGTGTTGTTTAGCTAGGTTTTCGACTGTATATGTAACACTTTGTACATGTACCATTAGAGATCAAAAGTATGTTAAGTCCCTTCAGCAGTAGGTAAGCTTTGAATTGGTATAACTTAAAATTATTTTAGAGGCCCATCTCTATCCTTTGCAGTAATATTACATCAGATAACACTTCATTAACGAGAGTGAACTTTAAAATGGACAAACAGTGCTTGCTTTATTGGCGGATACCCGAATCAAAGATCGGAGAGCCCTTTTTATTAATTAAAATTTGAGTAATTACTAAACTTAAAGTTACAATCGATTTCTCGCTTAAGCTTAATGTTCAACGTAACCTACATATCTTATATATTCGCCGAGTAGATGGCTGTCTTGTATAACGTTACTAAGCCATATATCCTATTTAATCTAACGCTGTTATCAATACCTTACTTATGATTTGTTTAATTCAACTTAAACATCTGAGATTTTCAGTAGATGGCTGTGTTATATTACAATGCTAAGCCATGAATCATATTTATTCAAATTTTCAATTTGAATTTACCATAATATTATTAGCTATGATTTGTTTAATTCAATCTTGACAACAGATAAAATATGACATAAGTTCCGTAGATGGCTGTTGTATAGCAATGCTAAGCCATAATTCGCATTTATTCAATTTGAAGTTAAGTACTCAGTAGCAGGCTGTATTGAATAGCAATGTTAAGCCATGAATCATATTTACTCAATCTGAAGTTACCATTAATTTCAAGTTACTATTGACAGCTTACTCATAATTGTTTCATTACAAGGTAACTTCTTATATATTTCGTAGATGGTTGTGTTGTATTACAATGCTAAGCCATGAATCATATGTATTCAATCTGAAGTCACTATTGATATCTTACTCATGATTTGCTTAAAAGTAAAAAAAGAAAAAAGTAATTAGTAGATGGCTGCGTTACTTAACAATGCTAAGCCATAAATCTTATTTACCCAAAAGAAAAAAAAAAGTAACATCCTATGTAATTAGTAGATGGCTGCGTTATTTAACAATGCTGAGCCATAAATCTTATTTACCCTACTGCACGCATGTACTAAGTGCTCAGGTCAGATGATGCACGTGTATCTGGCTCATTTATTTATTCATTTGGATTTGTTGTTATCTTGACTCATAAGTAAATTTTGCAGAAGCTTACACAAATCAAAAGGAAAACGGTATTACTTACGTAATACAGAAAGACACGAGGACGAACATCAAATAAGTCATATGTATCAGTCAATCTCTTTTGGTTCATTTTGAGCTAACGAATGAAGATGCTGTTTACGGATACAAATAGAAGTGTAGAATGCTGTATGTTGTCAAGCTCGTCTGCCTAAGTAAATAAAAATCATAAAAAAATGTGGTTTATTTTAGATGACTATCCATTAACCATTGACCCCTAAGAATGATTAGCATCTAATTTCTCTCCTCAGTCAAAGAGTAAGGTCATGAGAATAAAGGAAATGATCACTAGATTAAGAAGTTCTCAGTTGTTCAACAAGTTCTCCTCGTCAGCATCTTATAAACATGTACAGAAGACAACATGAAGAATATGCCTGCTGTTGTTAGGTTGTATGTCTATCAGCGTGAAAGTCATAGGTGAATTTTTGTTGATTAAAACTTCCCGCGCCTCAACAAACTGTCATAATAATCCCAAATTTCCTCATTTGGTCTGATTGCCCACCCCAAGCCCAGAAAGAAATTGTAATCAGGACGGAGTATTTTGGCAGACTGCATAGAGCTAGAAATGTCACTAGTAATGGATAGAAAAGTCTGTTTCAGCTCTATTCATCCGTCCGTGTCTTTACATGTGTGGGAGGGTATAAGGAAACGCTTGACCTGATATGTCGCCGGTACTTACAAGTAAACAATCAGAAACGCAATCTAACATCCCTCCAATCCTACGCCGGATATCTCGTCACTGTCCTGATATGCCACGACCAAGAGATATTAAATTGTTTTATAATCTCCTGGCCACGATATCATGGCCACTTTCAAATTAAATAGCAAATAATACATGGGTGTGCGTAGTTATGGAATCTCTCTTCAAATTTCTCGTTCGCTGCGCTCACTCGTGAGATAACAAGTTGAAGACGTTAAGAGAAATTCCATATCTCCAAGCAGCTATGTATGATTTCTTTTCATTACATAAACACAGTTGGCCTTTATATTACTAACAAGAAAATTCGGCGCATGACCTCTGATGAGAATGGTGAACAACACCTCGCCACTTAGGGCCTGTTTACATGGAGGTGGGGGACCCCAGGTAGGTGAGGTAACCCGCTTAGGTGGGGTAACCCGCCTTTCCATATAATCTCTCATTTTAGCTCGATCGCGTTTACATGATAGGTGGGGTAACCCGCCATGGCCCTTTCTGCCAGGTAGGGTAACCCTGTCAGCCGGGGTGACAATTTGCCATGTAAACGTCTCAAGGAAGGCTAACCCGCCTAGCCGGGGTCGCATTCATGGCAAAAACCTCAAAAGCTAAACACGTGTTTTAAGACTTTGAGCATTTCCTAGCCGTCTCAAGGCAGAAATCACCAGAAACCGCAACGGACACACAAGAGTGTAAAATGTTCACATATCGGAATATTAAGCGTTGTAAATCGACCATATTTCGTTTCCCAAACTATTCCTTATAACGTATTAAGTCTACGATTCCTCGCGTAATCTAAAACCGCGTAACACAACGCGTGACGCTTTCATGAATAAATATATACATGTCCGAGAATTAATCTTTCGTCTTTCTCGAGATGTGAGCTTGGGACGCTTATGTTCAAACTCCCTAATTGCAAGCGCAACAACAACCTCAAGAAACCTCACCTCAGCACCCCGGGGTTGTAAGATTGCATGTAAACGTGTTTTATTTTTCGACCACGGCTAGGCGGGTTACCACACTTACCTGGGATCCCCGCCTCCATGTAAACAGGCCCTTATTCATCAACTTGGCAGAGCGGCGCGAAAGGCGAGTGACGTTCAGGAACTGATTGGAAATATCAAACACGTCAAAATTCTCGTCATTTTAGGGCTCTTCACAGGGCTGGAAAACCTTGCAAAACACCGCACTTTCAATGATAAAGAATGTTGCAATAAGATGAATTAAATGTAGGTTTTATGACTGCAAGATTTAGTGCAAAAGTTCATTATTTGAGTTTAGCTGGTGTTTACAGGTTGGAAAAAAAAATATATGTATAGATAAATATTGCCGTCATAACTAGACTTACGAGCACTCCTACTCGCTATTAAATTGCATGTTTGTCGAAGAGTGCTGAAACATCGACATTAGCTGACATTGAATCAATGGAGTCGGAGTTCTTAAATTTGCGTTGTATTTTGAGCTAAAAAACCTCCCAGAAAGGGAGTTAAAAAAGACTTCAATGAGGAACTCGAAAAAAGTGTTGAAGACAAAAGTGGTCTTAATACAAGCATATCAACACAATTTGCACCACATACGTGGCAAATAATTGGCTTGAAAAGAGCGATAACAATAACTGTCAGATTCTGAAGCATTTTCACTGAGAAACACGCGCAGCGTGGGGAGAAGAATTTGAACCATCTATACTAAACAACAATCAACGGGGCGAGTTTGCTGGGAATGAAAACAATTTGGAAATCATTCCAACAGAAGTGTTAAACACGACCAGATCGCAGACCGCAGAATTCCTTGAGTTCCAGTGCTGGTGGTATTTTTCTTCAACTCTGATTCCTCCAACTGAAAGTTTTTAAAACTAATGAGACGAACCGATTTGAAGCCTCAAAATAATTTGCATTTTTTAACTGTCTGTGTGTTCGTTTCCACGTGATGAGGTTTGTAAAACAGTTCTTATCGGCATAAAAGGTGATAGTCTTGGTTTTCAACCACAAGTTATCACTTCGTTGTTGTGTATTATAACACTCAATCTGAAAATATCTTCCTCATGTGCTTGCGACCCTTGTCATCTTTTCGCGCCGTTTGTTGACTCGTACTATTCTTCTCACGGCCACTCCATAGAGTGCCTGACATATTTCATCGCCGTAACTTCAATGGAGATTTTACTGAATTTAGAAAGACTGAATAACTAGACGTACCTTCCTGGTACGCTTCGGTAGCAAAGCAGGCTCGTTTGTCATCGCCAGGGGTATATTGGCTCGACTGTGTACCAAAATTGTACGATTAGGTGAGAACTGGGTGAAATATCTATTAGATCACGGAAGAAAGAACACGTGGATGATTGTCGCGAGCGCTGGCGCTGGCAAGAAGAGCGAGAGTTTTCGACAGGCTGTATTTTAGTACAAAGCAAAAAGACAAAAAGGTTTAAGAACTTCAGTGCCTTCAGAGGATGAAGTCCAACATCATATCACAATCTGCCGCTTCAATTAAACAATGGTCGAAAGTAAGAGTGAGGATTCTGACACAACTGCAAAGAGCGCTGAGGTGAGTCTGTATGTTTTATCATTTCACGGTGCGATACGATCCTTTAAAAGTTTCAGTAGTCTTACTTTAAAAATCTTGCTCGTGCTAAACAGGGCATGTGCTTTGCTGTGGGTTTTTGGTAGATGTTTGAAAGCTCTTCGTGGGTAAACAAACCATGCCTTCCTCGAGAGGTCAGTTATCGTCGTTGACAAAATCGTAAGAAATAGCTGTTAGTTCAGTATGGCCATCGTGAAAAAAACGAAAAGTGATTGTGAACAAGGAGTGTTTTCTTGTCAGTTACTATTTAATACGCAGTCAGGTTTGGTAAATTTAATTCTAAAAGTGTGTCATTAATGTGACCAACTTTAATTACAGGAAAAGGAGAGTGGAAAGGGAGCATGCCTCTATGTGTCCTTAGCAAAAAGTTCAGGTTCAGCAACAATCATCATCAAGAAGCTGGAGAGCATTAGGATTTACTGTTAACATTAGGAATCAAGCATTGCATCAGCTTCACAGTTATGTGCCTCCATGAGGATGGCTCTTATTGTGTTGAAAGACTGTGAAGAAAACAATTTCATTGAGACTATCAAGTAAGTATCCCCTTTGTTTGTAAGTCTTTCCATTCTTAAAGACTTCATTGTGAGTGGTCAAATAAAGTTTAATTAAATGCATGATAATAAAATTAATACAAAAAATCATGCACTTCTGATAGGCTGAAAACAAGTGCATTTTTCATGCAGCACTAGTGCAAAGTTGAAACACAAGTGCAGATTATAAATAGTATGCTGTTAAAATTGTGAATAAGTGCTTGTAAGTATCCCCTAAGTCTTTCCACTCTTAAAGACTTCATTGTGTGGTACACGTGCCTAAATATGCACTCTTGCAATTATGTTGTCTTTGAAAAATTTACTTGTGCTGATTATTAAATCTTTTGAAAAGTTATTACCTGAACACCTGGATTCCTTTAAAATGTTGTATGGATTACATGCAACTGCATGAGTTAGCATTGTGAAGATTTCACATTGTGGATTGTGGAAAATAAGTGACAATAATTATAAACTTAAGGGTAATATTCACTGGCTTTTTGAAGCTTTTAACCATAAATTCTCTCTGAACATTTTGCTTTCCGTAACTTTTCCATAGTTTCTTGGTTATAAAGTGAACTTGGTTCTAAGATGCACCTCAAACTTAGTAACTTATTCAAGCCATTAGTTCCCAAACTGAAAATTACATGAAAATACTCGCTTACATGTATAAGATGCACCAAAAGGTTGAGAGTTAACAAAAGGATTTAATGGAACTAAGAACAATTACATGTATCCCTACACAACTCGCATACAAACACTTTTGCTAAAATGTAAATAAAAGTGAAAAAGTCACACATTTAATGATCTACATAAAAACCAAGGCTAAAATTTCACACCTGATTATGAATATTCAATGATCCTGATTTCATTCTATTAACCCTTTAACTCCCAGATCCAATTTGTAATTCTCCTTACCATCAACCATACAATTCTTACAATGTTCATTCAGAGAATTTTGTTTTGGATCAAGTAATTATCCCCAAATTGATCTTTTCCTTTAATCTCATCACTTATCTAGTTGCTATTGTATAGATATTTTAAGGAGAAATTCTGTCTTAGTCACCCATGGGAGTTAAAGGGTCAACGGATTTAAAACTCAGTTGCAAAACTAACTGATACGTTCTCATCCTAAACAGTCAAAGTTTAACTTCAACTTCTTGTTCGATTGCAAATATGCTAAGCACTCACCATCACTGATATGACCTCAACTTCAAGTTGAAAATTGTTGCCAAAGCTGAGGCAGTCAACAACAATCGTGAAATTGCCCATGAATATGGCATTTCAGAATTCATGGTGAGAAAATGATGCAACCAGCAACATGTCCTGTTTTGATGGTAACAACAAAAGACCTGAGTTGGATATCATGTTACCGAGCATGTGCTCTTGAGCACGTGTGCAAATTTCCACCTGTTTGCTTTTCTATAGAAGTTGATTTAAGTGTTCTAAAAGCAGTATTCATTTTTAATTCATAGGAATAAAAGTTTGAATTCAATGTAATCTTTGCTACACCTCAGACCAAAAAGCTCTGCTTTTTCTCCTTTTTCTCTAAACAGTTAGTGTCCTTTTCTTGTCTTTTTAACTACAGTATAAGTTCTGCTAAAATTGTGATATCAAGATTTTTTTTGTGCAAAAATACTTGGTTATAAGATGCACCTCAATTTCAGCATAACTTTCCAATTGAAGAAAGAATTTTCTTGGAAAAAACCATGTGCCTTAGAGCCAAGAAACTACGGTAAATTCTCTTTGAACATTTTGCTCCATTTCTCTCTACCAAAATTTTTTCACTATGTATTTTGTGGTGTTTGTTTCCCAAAACCTGTGGAAGATTCTTTCTCTCCTAGACAGTCATGGCCTCAGTGGCTGTTTCAATGAATATACTTGGTCATCATAACCTATTTTGTTTCAACAGATCACCGAAGGATGATGATACAACAAGCACACACCCATTGTATTTATTTCTTCTGGACTCCTGTCAGGTAAAGCTGTTCCTTTCTCCCTGGTTACTTATATCACTATGGCAACTGGCCAAAGTAGCCCTCTCTTATTCCTTAGTAAGGGTTAAAACCAGTTATATGAGTTCTTTGAGACAGAGCTGACCTCCTTGATCAGTAGCAAAAGAATAGGCTCTGTAGAAATGTAGGTATTGTTAAAACTAATTTTGAGAAAAAGAGAGTGGTCTAAAATCTATTGTTTATTGTACCTGTAATGATGAACCTATGTCATTGAAGCTTTACAGGCCAGAGATTTTCCATCTCTTCTCATTTTTTCCTAACATCTTGCATGAGTTAATTGCCAACGAGCCAGCCGAGCGAAGACGCGAGGCTGGCGAGGCGGCAGCATTATAGAGCCGTGCGAGAGTATTGTACAGGCGGAAAAAATCTCGAGTGATTGTAAGATGTCTGTAAGGTAAGATTCCTGAGATTCCAATGACGTAATGTGAATAGGCTTTGTTTTGCAACGGACCAATGGTAGCGCGCAAAGATCGTGACGTCAAGTCCACATGGTGCTTATCATGGACGCTTAGCAGCTTTGTCATTTATCGAGCGGAGGAGCGAGCAAGTTTGAGGTAAGAAAATTGTATTTTTCACCTACCTTTGTAAGTTTTATTTCCAATTCTGCGTGAGTGCACTTAAGTTAAGTGCCTTTGTGGTATAATTATCGAGTTAGCAAGCTCAGTAACCGGCCAGTGTGCCAAGTTGACGAGTGTGTCAAAGTCGGCAAGCGTGCCAAATGTAGACAACGCCAGCAGGCATAGAGCAATCAAAGAAACTGAGAAACCACCGAATTAAACAAAACAAAGCTCAAACAAACGATAATCGTAGCAAACTAGCGGCCAGTAAGCCAACTTTGACACCATTAGCGAGCAGAAAGCAATCAAAGTTGTAGCAAACTAGCGGCGGCGAACGAGCCACACGTGAGAGTGCCAAAGTCGGCAAGGGTGCCAAATCTAGACAACGCCAGCAGGCATAAAGCAATCAAAGAAAGTGAGAAACCGCTTGAAACTGTATTCAAACAAAACAAACGATAGTTTTAGCAAACTAGTGGCCAGTGAGGCAACTTTGTCACCATTAATAGCGAGCAGTTAGACAACGCCAGCAGGCATAAAGCAATCAAAGAAACTGAGAAACCGCTTGAAACTGTATTCAAACAAAACAAACGATAGTTTTAGCAAACTAGTGGCCAGTGAGGCAACTTTGTCACCATTAATAGCGAGCAGAAAGCAATTAAAGTTGTAGCAAACTAGCGGCGAGCTAGCCACGAAAGAGTGCACTCGTCATTGGCCACTGAACCAACTTTGTCACCCCACAAACAAGCTGAAAACAATCGAAGCAACTGAGATTCAACTTAACTTAAGCTTGAGTTAAATTCAAAGGAAACCTAACGCGGCGGAAGTGCATTGGAGAGCGAGCAAGCTGCAATAATCAACTGTCAGCTCGATCAATTCTTTCGACTGTTATTAATATCAAGCGTATCACGAATTTTTGAAGCACAGACTTTTGCCCACTAAAAATACAAGGTACACCTAGAGCAATAAACCGCACAAAAGTTTGAAAATGATGTGGCTATTGTTTATGTTGCTACTCTTTCCCAATCGTACTGCCCACAATAATCTGTTAGAATTGGGGAGTGTGTGCCCAAAATGCAGCATGATCTATTTCAGATTTAGGGGGAGATACTTGTCAAGGCGAATAGCTTATCCTTCTAATGGTAGTTTTAATCCCTTCGTTATTTCAAACAAGGAGGCACACATTGTGAATGGGAACATAAATTCAGAAGTGTTGGAAGAAAAACGCAATGCAATATGTAATAGCACTGATAGTAATTCTACATACATGTGTGAAGGATCAAATGTAAGAGATCACTTTCGTAATTATTGTTTGACCAACGTAGGGAAGTTTTCTTGTGCAGTTGATTGCTTTCTTGAGCTATGTTATTTTTTTTTCGCAATCATCTTCAAAACATTACATGCAATGATTTTTTTTCAAGTTATCTCTGAGGCGTGCAATCAAAGGGCAATTGTTGGTGCTGTTGATGTTGTGCGAGAGCCTATATGGTCACTGATCAGAGGTCGTTGCCCATCATTTTCTTCAATGACTGCAAATGCTGTTTTTAGTGACATATTTACCATGCAAGCATTTGGGGATTTAACCAGTGATTTGAAATCATTATTTCTTATTCAACAATGTAATCAGACTTGCTGCACCCTGTGTAACAATCAAATATTGAAAACTACTAGCACTATTGTCTTGTATATTACTTGTCCAAATATTCTGCCCACTGAATTTGAAAACTGTGTTTCAGAAGCTGCTTTGCCTAATAGCAGCCCACTTTTTTTGTGATGCATGTCAAAGGCATTCTGGTGATATTTCAGGTTTGCAACATTTTGTTACCATGCCAAAATTTTTACACATTGAATTATCATCAATTTCTTTTGGTCAAACTGTTCTACCAGCAAGTATGGAACTCTTAGGTACATTTTACTTATTAAAAGCTGTTGTGCGGTGTGCAAGCCACCATTTCACTATTGCTATAAACAATGGTCGTTATTGGTTTTATTATGATGATCTCTGTAGTGCAGTTCAGCAATATGCTACATTTCAAGATATTTTGAATGTTTACGCCAATGGATGGTATTTTGCTGTTTATGAAAGCTCTGTTGATAACATTATTAATATACATCAAGGCATTGATTCCTGTACATTAATGCCAGACCATTCTTATTCAAAATTAGAGGATAAAGAACGCCAAGCCTGTGATGATTTTGGGAAAGAAGTTTGCACACCCAGAAAACGACAAAGACCAGAAACAAATACTGACAAATTGATAGATAGAAAAAAGAAAGCTGAACTTAAATGTAGTAAATCCACATTTGAAGAATTACAAAATTGCTAAAAAAGCCAAAGAGACAGAGAGTGAAAAACTTTCTAGACAAAAAAAAGCAAAAAAAGAATATATGAGGGCATACAGAAGGAAAATAAAGGATTATGAGACAGGGGAGGAGAAGCAAGCACGATTGATAAAACAAAATGTGCAAAAGTGGAACTCTAGAGAAAAAAGGAAGACAATACATTTGATGTAATTAAACCAGTAGGAAAATTTACAGCTAAAAAAAAAGCCAAAGAGACAGAGAGTGAAAAACTTTCTAGACAAAAAAACCAAAAAAGAATATATGAGGGCATACAGAAGGAAAATAAAGGATTATGAGACAGGGGAGGAAAAGCAAGCACAATTGATAAAACAAACTGTGCAATTTAAGTGGAACTCTAGACAGAAAAAGGAAGACAATACATTTGATGTAATTAAACCAGTAGGAAAATTTACAGCATGGCAAAAAGTAGATAAACCACTGCATAATGTTGACAAAGAAGCATATTTATCTCAATTTGACAGTATAAACACTGGACCAATTCATGTACAGAAGTGGGCTATCAAAAACATGGAAGACTTTCATAATTCACTTAAATTCAAAATTTATATGTGTGAAGTTTGCCATGAGGCATGGCCATTATCATCATCAAAAGGCAAAAAGAGATCTCCTTATATGTGTTCAAGATGTTCACGTGACAAGAATGGAGTGAAAAAATTTTCATCTCAGAATGGAATGATTCCTTCACAAGTCCCAAATGAATTGCAAGGTTTAACGCAATTAGAGGAAATGTTAATAGCTCGTGTTTTCCCAGTAATTTCTGTTTATACAAAACCAGGTGGACAAAAAAGCATATAAAGGTCATTGTATTAACTTCTCTCAAGATATCCAAGAGTTAGCCAATTCATTGCCAAGAAACCTAAGTGAAATGCCAGTAATAGTTGTGTCAGTCAAAGGCAAAGATAATACTTATAAAGATCTCACTGTGAGACGTGAAAAGGTCAGCTGTGCTCTGCACTGGTTAGTTCAACATAACCCTGTATATAAGGATATCACTATTGATTATGAATTGTTGGCTTTCTTGCCTTCTGATGGCATTCCCACTGAGCTGCGTAAAATTTATTGTACTGAGAACAGTAAAGATGATGAAATTGATCCAGACAGAGGTCCTCTTGATGAAATACCTTTCAATGAAGACACAGAATTGAGTAGCACAATTCTTAACCCTGTACAACTAAAGCCACAGAAGCAGCTGATAAAAGATGAGTTATTACAAAACAGTAAAATCAATTGGCCTAATAGGAATTCAAGTCCTCTCAATGAGTTTAAAATTGAATATTTAGCTACTATGGCATTTCCTACTTTGTTCCCAGATGGTAAAGGAGATCCTACTAACAGTGCTACAATGCGTGATGTGACCCTTGGAGATAAAATAAAACATTTGATTAAATTTGCTGAATATAATAATGGTAAATGGGCTTATAGGTTTGCAAGTCACCCACGGTTTGCTTATTGGGCATTCAACATGATTCAGAGGCACAGACTCCTTAGTCAGGGAAATATTTTTTTAAAGCAAAACCCTGGTGAAGCTAAGTTAACTGTAGAACAACTTCAACAAATGCTTCAAACAAATACGTATTCTACTTTAATGTCAAAACTTATGCATTATGCTAAAAATGTTACTGGTAGCAATAGCTATTGGCACAAAGCTAAAGAGGATTTGCGAGCAACCATTGCTCAAGTAGGACCGCCTACTATATTTTTTACTTTATCTTGTGCTGAGTACCATTGGCCTGAATTTCATGAACTCTTTTGTGACCCTCACTCTGAAACACTTCAACCAGCAATCAGGCAGCAAAATGTTCTTCAAAATCCACATATCTTGGATTGGTTTTTTACTGAGCGAACAGATCGTTTTGTCAAGTTTTGGTTAAAAGAGTCATTAGGGGCTTCTTGGCATTGGTACAGATACGAGTATGCAGTTCAGAGAGGTTCAATTCATTGTCATGGAGTTGCAAAATTGAAAAATGATCCAGGACTTTGCGAACTGACAGAAATTGCATTGCAAGGTTTTTTAGCATCAAAGCATATCAATGAGAACAAAGGAAATTTGTCAGAAGAAGAAATATTAGAACTGGAGACTAAGATAAATCAAGGTATACAAGCAGAGTCTGTTGTTTGTCAGTATGTTGACTTTATACTAACAACTTGGAATCCATGTTCCCCAGAAGAAGGGTGGTCCAAACCAGATTCTCATCCATGTCAAACCCAGTATCTGTCTTTGAATGGCAAACAAAAAGAGGAAGACTATGTGAATTTATTAAACTCTGTTGAGAGACATACAATGTGCAGTACTAAGTATTGTCTAAGGAAACTAGCAAAAATGAATTAGCCTGTAGATTCAAATTTCCTTTTGAAAATTGCCCAAAGACAAGAATAGATTTTGAACCAATAAACACTAAATCAGGCCAAACCAAGTATAGAGCAACCATTGTTACTAAGCGAAATGATTCAAGATTAAATCGTCACCAACCACTGCAGCTCCAAGGATGGAGGGCAAATTGTGATATTCAAATTATTATAGATTATGTGGCATGTTTGGAATATCTTGTGAAATACACATCAAAAGGAGAAAAAGCTTCTTCAGTTCTAAATAATGCATTCACCAATGTAATTAGTAAAGCATCGGACGAAAGTGACATTCATAACATTTTGAAGCAAATTATGATCAAAAGTGTCGGACAACGAGATTATTCAATCCAAGAAGTTATGCATCATTTACTCTCACTCAAATGTGTAAGTGCAACACATGAAGTAATAAATACATCTCTTGATGGTTCACGAAGAGTACAGGTGTCCAAAAATAAGGATTTTTTGTACAATCCCATCCATGTTGGATATTTATGCTGAACGAGAGAAGTTTATTAAGACATTTCCAGACATACTGACATATAATTTTTGCAATTTACCTCCACATTTGTAAGCAAAAACTCAAAACTGGAGAAAAGGAAGCAAGCTGTAATAGTTAAAACTTATCCCAAATTTTCTTCAAATCCTCAAAATCAGCAGTATGGGCTGTTCTGTAAATATCAACTGCTAAAATATAAACCTTGGCAACATGTAGCAGACAATGCATGGGACAATCTTGAACAGTGTGATGAAACTTATAAAGCATGTTGGATGAACTTTTGTGTAGTGATTGTGGGAAGAACAGTGTTCCTGACTGGGAATTGCAATTGAGCAGCTTAAAAGCAGCCATTAATCTGGAAAATGAAAATGAAAACATGGAAATTATAGAGGAAGAAAAGGAAGAGTGGATGTTTATGTCAGAACTGAATTTACAGGAGTTGAGCACAGATACTGAATATAACTCGACGTTAGCTCCTGAAGGATATTGGCACAATGTTAGTGAACATTTTGACGATGTTGATCTACTTTCTGTTACTTCTTGGTTAAATACTCAGAAAAATAAAATGAACCAAGTTGGCACATATCATCAAGAGTAATAGATATTTCAAGTTTTAGTAGCGATCAATTGTTGGCATACCATATCATTCTAAATCACTTCAACAGCAGTAATGAACTGCCTTTGCATCTACTTGTTAAAGGAATTGCAGGTTCAGGAAAAAGCTATGTTATTGATGCTGTAAGAAATGTTCTTAAGGAAAAATGTCAAGTACTAGCATATACTGGAAAGGCCTCTTTTAATGTCAAGGGTGTAACACTGCATTCTTTCCTCAAACTACCAATTGGTTCAAAAAGACTCTTCGAATTGAAAGGAATAGCTTTGCAACAACTTCAAACTAATTTACAAAACATTCAGTATTTGATTATAGACGAATATTCATTTGTTGGCCAGAGCTTATTTGGGTGGATAGATTGTAGATGCAGGCAAGCTACAGGTTTAGCTGATCAAGCTTTTGGTGGTCTTTCTGTTATTCTGGTCGGTGATATAGCACAGTTATCCCCAGTTGGTGATAAACCACTTTTCCATTCTTTGCCAAAATCAGAAAAACAGATTCAGGGTCACCTCATATATAAAGAGTTCAAACAAGTCGTCACATTGTCAGTGAATCATAGAGTTGATGGCAAAACTAATGCCCACAGCTGCTTTAGAGATCTCCTCATTAGAGCACGAAATGGAGAATCCACTTTGGCAGATTGGCAGACATTGTTATCTAGAACTCCTGAAAATGTAACAAATATTGAAGAATTCCTAACATCATCTGTAAGGCTATCCTATCTGAAGGCAAAAGTTGCAGAAATGAACTTGATCAAATTAAAAAATCTAAACCAGCCAATAGCAACAATCAAAGCCCGTCATTCTGGTGGTGCTCAAACACTTAGCTCTGATGAAATGGGAGGATTAGAACCTGTCATATATTTAGCTAAAGGTGCTAGAGTTATGCTCACTATGAACATGTGGACAGAAGTTGGTCTTTGTAATGGTGCACTAGGAACTGTATTAGATTTTGTATATGCTGATGGGCAAACTCCTCCAGCCCTGCCTATTTGTGTTCTTGTACAGTTTGATGAACAATATAATGGACCTTCTTTAACTGCAAGTGTTCCAAGATGCGTTCCAATTTGTCCAATAACCCAAATTTCACAAAACATAGGTCACACATGTGAAAGACAACAACTTCCTTTAAAGCTAGCATGGGCTATGACTATTCACAAAAGCCAAGGTCTGACTCTTAAAAAGCATGGATATATCTCGGCCCTTCAGAGAATTCACCTGGTATGACATATGTGGCTCTTAGTAGAGTAAAAAGACTCCAAGATCTCATAATTGAGCCAATGACATTTGAAAGGTTGCAAGCTTACAAAAAATCAAATTTTTTGAAATATAGGTTAATTGAAGAAAAGAGACTTGATTCTTTATCTCTAAATGCTTCTAAAAATGGTCATCATGAGTAACTTTGACTTAATACAGTAAGCATGTTCTCCAAAAGCTAAACAAGACATCCAAATACCAATTATTGTGTTCCCCTGTTTTTCTTTGTTTGACTTGATTTAATTATTGTCTTTGAAAAGCCTCTGGAGGAAAGTCAATAAAATATGTATCTATGTGTGATGTATTTTTAATTTGTAAAACATTTTTTTTTGTTGCAGACGATGGCAAGCAAAAGGACTTATTGTAAGTACTGAATATAATTATTTTATCTTATAAATACAGAATTCATGCCCTTTAAGTAGTCTAAGACTAAACAGGGACAACTGGTGTCCCTGTTATTTTGCAGCAACTCAGCCCCTAGCACCTGACTACTGTATCTGTGAAAGGTAGAGGCAATTTTGTTCTTGGTTATTGTTGTTCACTCATAATAATGAGTACATGCTGACTCCTTTATATTTCAAGCTTTACCTGCAATGTGTCATTTTCTTGAAATATCCAACCCCCCAAATTATTTGACATTACCATGCCAATCAAACATAATTCTCTTATGCATATTCTAACCATCTTAATTGTTTACTTGCAGCAAACGACCATGGGTTTATTCACAACCTCAGTCCAATTAAGAAGTCCCTTAAGTCAAAGCATCAGTGGTATGAATTTCAGCTTCAAACTTCACCCACTAAAGTGAAACGTTTGGTAGGATTTAATCTCTATGTCCATGATTCCTTAAAACATTTTGAGGAAACCAAGAGCCCAGTACAGCTCAAGAACATTATTGTAAAAGACGACAATGAATGTATTTTCAATCAACAATCTGTCGTACATAAAGCAGGCTTGTCAGATGTATCATTTTGTTACACCGAGCAGCCAAAGCTTGAAAGTGCAGGTGAATCAAGTGCTGCAAAGTCAGTTACTGTGTCGAATGTAAAAGGTTTGCACCCAAACCAAAAAGTCAATGTCAGTGGTTCCCTCACTATGGGAAAAGAAGACCTCAAGGCTGTTGTTCTCAGATCCACTGGAGCAACAGCCCATGTGAAGGAAGATTGCGTGTTGGAGGACAACACTGGGTCATCAATGATTCACATTTGGGAACCCCTTGTCCATACCTTGACAACGGGTAAATCATACTGCTTCACCAACCTGACAGTAAAGAATTTCCAAGGGTCGACGTATCTAAGTACATCGCCAAACACAACAGCAAACCTTACAACACAAACAGTGCAAACCCTGACTGGACCAGATATGCTCAAAAGTCCAGAAAAGGAAGTAACTGCTTCAGAATTCAATTTGGTGTCAAAGCTAAACATCTTTTGTTCCTGCAAAGCAAAAAAAACGCTTAAATGATGTTGAATCATTCACTTGCACCACACTGAAGTGTGAAAACTGTGGTACACGTCAAAGATCAAGAGATATCAAACTGCAGGCTTCAGCAAAAATTTCTATCACTGAATCAGAAGGTGACAACAGCAAAGAGATGTGGATCCAGGCTTTCACTGAGCAACTAGAAACCCTGCTGGCAGGATCAACCTTATCCCTAAAGGATAAAATCGATGACATTGAAGTTTATCTTATGTCTCTGGAAGACATTTGTTTGGTATACAATGTCCAAACAACAAACATTACAAAGATTCTCTCCTTTAAACGTCCAGAAGTACACTCTGATTAGCACATTGTCTGTGAACAGTCCAATACCCTTGTGTGATTGTCTCGAGGAGGACGTTGGAAAGTTAAAATTGTTGTTTAATACTGATGTAACATGTGTAGTCTCGGACTGGCCCATGCATCCCAAAGCTAAAAGATGTGCATCTGCTTTCCCAGGTGTTTGACTTTGAGGAACGTTATAGCAGTGAATGAAAAATATTTTGTTACAGTTTAGATTCATGTGTTAGAGATTTCGCTCTATACATCCCTTAATTAAGGATAAAATTAATGACGTTGAAGTTTATCTTATATTGTCTCGAAGAAAATATTTGTTTGGTCAACAATGTCCAAACAATGAACAATACAAAGTTCTTTCCTTTAAACGTCCAGAAGTAAACTCTGATTAGTTCATTCTGTGTGAACAGTCCAATAACATTGTGTGACTGTCTCGAACGATGTTGGAAAATTAAAATTATTGTTTAATACTGATGTAGCATGTGTTATCTCAGACTGGCCCATGCATCCCAAACTTAATAGTTGTGCTATCCCAGTTGAATGACTGTGAAGAAAAAATTTATTTAGTGATTCAGAAATATTTTGTTACAGTTCATATACAATTAAGAGTTGTTATTGTGGGTTCATTTTTGTTCTGTATTACCTTATATTATTCAGTTTTACACATAATTTTTAGAAAGGGAAGAAAACACACTTGGCTATCATTGCAGCACAAACTTTTGTATTGCAATAATGTAAAATCAAGAAACTTATTTTCGTTTTCACCATATTCACCTCAAAATTTAAAACATTTCACGTTGGTTGGAATACTTCACTACTAAAATTTACACCCACAAAACATGACTCCATTTTTTAACATTACCAATGAGTATTTCTTTTCATTGGTTGCTCGTTGGCACTTAGCGATAGCTATATCTAGTACAGTAATAAATTTAATGGTAGAAAAGTGTAGTGTATTGCATGCCTACCAAAACTAACAACCATACAGAGTCAAGGGCATGTACATGTACATGTACATGTACATGTACATGTACTGTACATGTAGGCTCAACTTATATATTTTGCCTCTTCTAAGTATTGGTTCAAAGATTAATTTTACTGTGTGTTTTTGAACAATTATTTTCTTATGTTACAGCTTGCAAATATATACTGTTGCAGAAGGCAATAACAAAAAGTACAATTTTTGTAGGCAATAGCTTTTTTATAAAGGGTAACTCAGCTGTAGTAATGAATAAGGGGGAAAGTTTCTAAAGAAACTGTGGTGCTGCATCAGTGGGAGAGTATAGTAGGTAATTTAGTGTTAACAACTGAGTTGAAAACGTAAATCAGCCACTGTAAAGGGTAAAAAAGCTGATGTTTCAAGCATTAGCCCTTCATTGGAGCAATTTGTTGCAGTGCTGTTATGACTATAAATTTACAAGTTTTTCCTGGATTCTGTCAGATACTTGATGCAAGAGGAGCTTTTCCTTGTTGCTTACTATTTTTAAATAGTAAGTGACAATAATAAGTATTATTATAATAGTAAGTTAATAAATAGGTAGTCAGGTTTGGTGAATTTTACAAGTGTAACAGCTGTATTAATATGGCCAACTTACTGTAATTACAGGAAAATGAAAGTGGAAAGGGAGCATGCCTGTATGTGTCCTCAGCAAAAAGTTCAGATTCAACACAATCATCATCAAGAAGCTGGAGACTATCAGGATTTACTGTTAACAAGGAATCAAGCATTGCATTAGCTTCACAGTTATGTGCCTCTGTGAGGATGGCTCTTATTGTGTTGGAAGACTGCGAAGAAAACAATTTCATTGAGACTATCAAGTAAGTATCCCTTTTGTTTGTAAGTCTTTCCATTCTTAAAGATTTCAATGTGAGTGGTCATCAGTAAAGTTTGACAATTAAATGCATGATAATAGACATGAAAAAACTATGCACTTTTTTATTGGCTGAGAACAGGTGCATTTTTCATGCAGCACAAGTGCAAAGTTGTAACACAAGTGCAGATTATAAATAGTATGCTGTTAAAATTGTGAATAAGTGCTACACGTGTACAAATTGCACTTGCCTTATGCACTCTTGCAATTATGTTGTCTTTGAAAAATTTACTCGTGCTTATTATCACCAAATTGTATTGAAAAGTTATTACCCGAACAGGATTCCTTTAAAGTGCTGTATGGATTACATGCAGCTGCATGAATTAGCATTGCAAAGATTTCATTTTGTGGATTGTGGACAATACGTGACAATGAATATAAATTTCAGGGTAATTTTCACTGGCTTTTTGAAGCTTTTAGCTACAAGTTCTCTCTGAATATTTTGCTCCATCTCTCTCCACCACAATTTGTCACTATGTACATGTATTTCGCTTGCTTCCCAAAAACTGCTGAAGATTCTTTCTTCCTTAGACAGTCTTGGCCTCAATGGCTGTTTCAGTGAATATACTTGGTCATCATAGCCTTTTTTGTTTCAACAGATCATCAAAGGCATGCAATGAGCACACACCCATTGTATTTATTTCCTCTGGACCCCTGTCAGGTAAAGCTGTTCCTTTCTCCCAGTAGTTACTTATATCACCATGGTAACTGGCCAAAGTAGCTTCCTCTTATTCTTTATGAAGGGTTAAGACCATTTATATAAGTTCTTTGAGACAGAGCCAACCTCCTTGACTAGTGGTATAAGAAGAGGCTCTGTAGAAGTGTAGGTAGTTGTTAAAACTAATTTTGAGAAAAAGAGGGTGGTCAAAAATCTATTGTTTATTGTACCTGTAATGATGAGCCTATGTCATTGTAGCTTTACAGGCCTGTGATTTTCCATCTCCTCATTTTTTCCTGACATCTTGTATGAGTTAATAGTCAGTAGTAAATGATAGAAAGGTGTGTTGTATTGCATGCCTAATGAAAATAACAACTGCACAAAGTCAAGTGCATGTAGACACAACTTAATATATATTTTGCCTCTTCTAAGTATTGGTTCAAAGATTTACAGTGTGTTTTTGAATATGTTTCTTATGATATAGCTTGCCAATATATACTGTTGCAGAAGGCAATAACAAAAAGTAGTAGCTTTTTAAGAAAGGGTAAATCAGCTATATTAGTTTCCTACATGTAGTAATTAACAACTCAAAGATTGACTGGTTTGAACTGTTCTCAACAATGATTTGATCTTTTTGTTAATTCTTTTTTACTCCTGATTGTAATGTGCAATTTTTTGTAATATTGATGGACAGTTGTTGCAGTACTGTTATATGTATGACTATAAATTTACAAGTTTTTCCTGGATTCTGTCAGATACTTGATGCAAGAGCAGTACATTGATGAACTTGTGTTCAAATGCTTGACACTGGAGTGTGATTTGGGAAGTGCAGTAAATTGCCTGATAATGCAACCAGGACAATTTGCAGGTACATGTATCTATCATGTTGAGTTTGGTTGAGTCATGTTTTCTTTTTTCATTGTAAAATGCCTTAAATTATTTTTCAGAGTATATTCAGAGTGACAGGGAATTTTTAGTGGTGTATTATGCCTTAATCCCTCTTTGAAAAGAACACATTTCCAAAAAAAAGACAAAACAAAACAAAAGAGAGGGAAAAAAACCAGTGGATTACTTTTTAAATTACCCAGCCAATTGGTATGTGCTTAATTCATTTTTTACCGTTTCTAGGCAATGGATTTAACTGGAAGCAAATTAAACCACCAAACCAAGTTCTTTTTAATAATTGGTGGCTCATTTTGTAAAACATGTTGGTTCTGGTTTTCAGTTTCTCCCTGGACATACAACTTTTTTGTAGCAAACACAAAACAAAATTAAAATTAATATTATTGAGCAATGAAGCTGTGTGCATATTGAAAATGTTGTTGGGAGCCATACACAATTTGGTCCCTTTAGGAAAATTGTAAGTTCATTGTAATGTTCCTTCAGTTACACTTATTTACATGTAGATTTGACTTCAATTCAGCGCATTTCCTACATGTATTCATTTTATTGTGACATGCAATATAGCTCTTTTCAGTCTGGTAAATACTTGCACACCTTGTAAACAAAAAACATAGTTACCAAATTATAATGTGATTCATGTAGCTTTACAAGGGAGACATTATCTTAAACATTTCTTCATAATATTGTTGCAGTTACTCCCAAATCAAAGAGGCCTGGCATTGTAAGAAAAAGGAAATTTGATACAGCTTTTCTATCATCAAGGAACAATGATTGTGAAGGTATGATATTTTATTAACTCTATTGCTCCTGTTGGTGACCAAGACAGAATTTCTCCTTACAATATCAATACAATATCAAGCAGACAAGTGATGAAAATAAGGAAAAATATCAGTCAGGAGATTAAAAGTTGATTCAATACCAAATTCTCCAAACTAACATCACGAGACCTGTATGACAGACCGTAACGAGAATAATTTTGATTCACATCAACGCTATTAATGTTATCGCTTCAAAACAGGATTTTTCATCACTGGATAAAGTCACCATTTCCTTGGAGAACATGGAGAAGAAGGTCATGGAAGTTCTTACAAATGAAAGAAAAGCGTTTGGAATTAGGGACAAGCAGTCATGAAAGCTTTTATAAGCAGAATTTTCCAGAGTAAATGTCCACTGTTATTCACTTGCTCTAAAAAAGAGTCTTAATATGTAAAGTAATAAATAATTGTCAATTTTACTACTAACAGTGCATGTAACAGTACCAAACAGAAAATCTCACGTTGGAACTAGTGGTAACATAGAGAATTGTAATGAAATGTTTTGTAAACAAAGTAGTGAGGAAATCAACATTGCAACAGTCTGGTATTTACAGTTTGAGTAATTTTTTAATTTCTAATTACTTACCCAAGAGCTCTTTGGCAATAATGAAATTGATGTATTTCATTTCTTCCTCTGCATAGTTATTAACTTTTAGACCCTACAGCTTAATGAGTAAAGATGCACATCTATTCCTTTCAAAGCTCAATCCCAAATAGATGCAGCTGACTTCTACATTAGAGGTCACATGAGAAATATACACTTGTGATAAAAAAAAAAAAACCTTTATTGAATTTTTTAATCAGTATTTGCATGTAAACTTATCAAAGTTACTGGCAATAAAATTATTCTTGTGATAAGAATTTTGGTTCTTTATAAGAGAAAGTGCGATCAGAGGAATTAAGAGTGTGACAGGTCATCTAAAACAAACCTGTTAAGTACAAGTTTTAAATTACTGATTTTGAAATATGCTGAGGCAGTCTGACTTTGCACTTCAGTAAGGAACTGAGGCAACGCCGAGGAAGACGTCACTTAAAAAATGTATTTATATTTTATGTTAAAATTTTGCGGATGGCTGGGTGTGTTCACGGTTTCTTACGACGCTTCACTGAAACTTCAGCATAACGTATGTGAGCCGCTTTGAGTTCCAAATGGAAACTTATTTTAAAGCTTCCGTTCACTGATCACGCAAATTTTGGTGATTTCATTTTGTTTTTTACAGGGCAGCTAAGTAATTTACAAAGGTTTAGTAGGTACCTGCTGATCAGCTATTATTTTGCCAACTGTTATGATATTTTGTTTTGCCTTGTTCTTGTTGCCATTGGCGTCGTGGTTCGCGTTAAGGTCCCTGGTACTTACCATGTAAGATAAACTTGGTCGTAAACTTTGTCGTCAAGACAAACAAAAAGTGCTTGTGTTGTAGAAGTAATTAGAGTTTTGGCGAAATTTTCGTGGCACGAAACTAAAGTCGGTCACAATGAAAACAACAATGTAACTATTTGGAGGCTCAAAAGGTTACGGTTTGTAAAATTCAGCTAGTTGCTCATAAAATCCCCTTATGACAAACTTTAGAGCAGTGATTCATAAACCAAAGTTGTCAGACCACATGTACATATTTTTCCTGCCGCAGTGATTGGATCAGTCTCGCAGTGCAAAAGATATATAAAAACAGAAGAATGAAACTGGTCAATTTTCGTCAGTGGCCGCTCAACAGTTACGGTCTTTTATTTCAAACACGAAGGTTGCGACTGGCTAGAATGCTTACCGCTCCGTTGATATTGCGTCATAAGATCAAATTGAAGCCGATCTACACGAACGATTACGATGATTTACCCCTATCGATTATAATTCTGGCTACTGCAGTGACCTCAGTGAACGGCGATTATCAAATTCCAGCCGTATGAGCTGTTCAGAGATGATGTTTCACCGATAGAGATCATGTTTTAATCGAATACCTTAAATTTATTGGTCCAAATTTATGAAGGAATGAAAACACCGAAATCTATATTGCTTGCATTTGAAAATTGACTTTTAGTCAGCAGTAAAACCCATCAACCGAGATTTATATTTCATGTTAAATCGAACAGTCCACGAAGTCAAAAAAGAGCGTCCCCAATGGCTATTCGGGATCCGGGATTGGTCTTATTAAAAGGCCGGGATCCGAGAATTTAGTGTAAGAAGGGGGCGAGATGCGGGAATGATGTTATGCCGGCGGGACACGGGAATCGGTGATTTTAAGGGGCGAGATACGGGACTGAAATAATCACTTGAACGAACCAAGAACGGGAATGTCCGTTGACGAGAATGAAATTGATCGGACTGGTCAGCGACACTTCAGTAATTGCGCAGGAATGAAAATTCTATCAAAAGCGAAGTTGCCAACTTACCAAAAATCCTTAACGGCGCAAAGGGTAATGTGGCATCTAAAACTGTTGCGTCAATTGAAGTGCTTAACGGCGTAACAAAAAGAGAAACTCCAGAAAGTCTCGGAATTATATCGATGTGAGGCTCTTAACCCCTTGAGTTGCATGATACTAGACGTGGAGGATATTCACTCAGTTATGCATCACAAATATAAACTTTTCACGGTGTTAGATTACGCAAGAAAGTTTGGAAATGCAGCCAAAAAATGGAAATGGACTAGGAATACATTTTTATGATCAAGATTGGCCGGTATAAGCCGTCGGAATTACGGGACTGAGAGAAAGTAGTCGGGATCGCTAGATTGAAGAACCTTGTTGGATACCCTCAAGAAAGCATTGATTACGATTATTAAACAAACATCCTCAAGCAAAAACACGATTCTTTCTCATAAACCTTATATGAGCCCATCGGGTAAACTCGCTGTTTGAAACGTACACTTGATTTCTACCCAAAGAAAATTGCTCGGTAGAAAAAAAAACCGGGGTTTTTCGTCAAGCGAAAAATATTGAAATATTGCAAAGTAAATTACAAACGGAAAATTTAAACCTGATGAGGTCAACTACCTTTTTATTAATTACAATGACTTAAAACCACCGATACTTTCAAATCAGCACTCTAATCCCCACGGTATCAACGAGCACTTTTCATTCAACTAGTTTGTTCTTGTTTTCACCCTTTTCCCAACCATAGCGTAGCTCCATTTTCTGCGTATAAACGTACGCACAACCCACAATTCGTCCATTCGCTCTGACGAAGCGCTAACGCTCGAAACTTCACCTTTCAAACTCTTAACGGTGGCCAATCTACGTTATCAACTCAATTGATAATATTCAATTGTTTTTTTCTCAGTTCGTGAGCGGGTGGTATTCTACAAATCCTGCAATCTGCTTGGTTCCAAGAGCGGGCAGTATTCTCCCCATCCGGCCCGCTCACAGCGGGCGGTATCCGATCCTTTTAAAAAAATGTTTCGAAGTTTTCTTGGAAGCCTTTTAAATCACCTTTAATATCATTACGCAAATAAATATGTTTTGATGAAACCTCTCTCTTTCATTTGCATTGCCCTTGTTTTCTCTACCATCTACTTGCTCATAAATTGTTCAGTTTATGGAGAATCTTGCCGTACTTACAGCCTTTTATCATTCAGGTTCTTTTCGCAACCATTTGTTAGGTTTTGGAAAAAAATAAAAATGTTTTTTACCAGCCAAGGTCGGTCCGTATTGGGAAAAACTGTGCCCTCTGTCTTGTGTACCGCCCGAGGCCTAGGTCCTCGGGCTGTATCCAAGACCTCGGGCACAGTTTTTCCCAATACGGACCTCCCGTCCGGTGAATAACATATATTTAGCATATTAATCGATGCGCGCGCTTCCATGAGTACTTAACAAATGCACTGGCTAAGAGCATGTTAATAAGAGCCAAACAATGCAGGAAGTTGGAATAAAATAATGTTTTTAAAAATAATTTAATGACTATTTATGCTATTTGAATTAAATAAGTTATTGATTTCAAAAGACACTTGAAATAGTTTGATTAACAATACTACCTAAGTTTAACGAAGAAATGAAGGTGAAACCTTTAAGTGGAGCGCTACGGCTGTGGCATCGGTAATACTTAGGGGCTGCTTTTCTTGTCTGTGATATCTGCAGTAAAAAGGTGGGAACTCATTTTCTTAGTCAACCTCCATGGTTGCCACTACTCTGACATTTTACTGGCCTACAATGTTATAGTTTAATCGCACAACTCAATTTGGCCCCTCGTGCAAAAATAGAAAAACGAAGCGAAAACAAAAGCAGGGCAAAAAGGCGATTCGAAGAATCCGGCAAAGGCGTGAGCGCGTGCGTTGATGATTGAATCATGCTCAACGGATGCATGCTTGCGTATGCCACTTTCTCTCCTTCAGTTTTGCGTGCCGCGTTAGAAAATGTTTCTTGATGGAAGCCAGGCACATCAGTCAAATGAAAGATTGTGCACTGTAACGCGTTTTGAAACCGAGGCAAATGCCGCTGGGAGCTCGAGAGAAGCGAGTCAGTCTGTTCGAACCCAGTACTGGTCAGTGGATTTTCTGTAAAGTTCACGTTTGTTGCGTCATAATACACTAGGCCAAGGAAAATTCAACGGCGTTTCCTCGGTGCTAGGTGAATTCGGGACGCAAAAACAATCAAAAAAACTCTTTCACATGTTATAATGGATTTCAAGGGCTGTCACGGTGGTGATAAAATTTGAGGTAGCGTAATCATTTGCGCTCTGCTTTGACTTGTATCGCTTTGTAGTCATGTTAAGACTGCAGCGACTGCCCAAGGCAGACCGAGATCTAACTTGGACAGTCTGACTTGAGTTTTTCGCAAACATTTCAAAAATTGTTCTGCTACATAAATATCTTTGTTTTCAAAGCCACCACTCGGAAGCCCCAAAGCATATCGCGCTGTCTTTTCCGGCAAGTGTTGTGCAGATTTTCATTATTTCTCCGTCGAGAAATATATCTCAAATTTACTTTATAGTTCGAGGTAACAGCCTGCACCTGATATAGGAGAGACTTCATTATAGAATAATGTTTGAAGAATTTTGGTCTGAAGGCCAGGACGGCAAAGCTGAAGAAAACTGCTCAAAGGTAATTGTGTATGAATAGTGGAATCAGCAGAAGCAGCAGCTGCAGCACACACATCACTTTTGTATGGAATGTCGAAAAACCAAAACCAAATAATCACAATGGCCAAGCGAGACAAAGGGAGCTACCACAAGGAGCCGGTCAGAGCCCAAAGTGAAAACAGAAAGATTCTCTAAAGTGTAGGTTTCGTCAAAACTAAAACAATTTACACACAGAAAAAAAATCATTACAAAAACACTGAGATGTGTATACATTCAAATTCTGAAATATGTCTTCTCTGGACCTTTCTCTGATTTCGATAGACATTAAAGCCGCTTGTCGTTAATGTCTAGCCTCCAGACTCAGGTGAATATTCTGAAGAATTGAAGAGAAAGGCTCAATCGGGTAAGAAAATGTAAAAAATCAGTTCTACACATGTACTTTGAACCTGATAACAATCGATGATAGCAAGTGGGACTTAAAAGGTTCTCTTATACTGTCAAATGGAAGACAAAGCACTGAGTCATACGACTCTAAGAGGGTCCCGATGGGGCGATGGCTTTTACGGCCAACGGTTAAAATTTTGGCCATTTTACGACAAACGGTTAACCCAAAATGACACAAGATGACTCGTTGTACAAATCTTTTCTTTCTTTATTCCTATTCCTCGGGGCGTTATTATATCGAAGCGGTCAACTGAAATCATTAGGT